GGGGGAAGATCAAATACATGGAAGTTAAATAGCACCCTGCTTAAAAGCTACTTGGATTAGAACAAATAAAAAGAATGAAATAAAATAAAGAACTTTAATCAAATGAGAATTAAAATACAACATACCAAAAGCTTTGGGACACAGCCCAAAAAAAAGTACATAGAGGGCAATTTATAGCAATAAATGAACGCATCCAGATGAAAGAAGAAAGAACCAAAATTAATACATTGGTCAGGAAAGCTCTGTATTTGAAGGTGATTTGAACCTCTACTTATCTCCAGCTATTAGAAAAAGACCAGAAAAATAAGCCTACAGTCATCAGAAAAAAAGAAATAATAAAGATTAGAGCGAAAATAAATGAATTAGAAATCAAAAACAATAGAAAGAATCAACAAGACCAAAAAAATGGGTATTTGAAAGGATTAATAAAATTGGCATACTATTGGTAAATCTAACAAAGGAAAAGAGGGTGACATTGAAAATAGCACACACATAATAAACTATATAGTTCATGTCACAACAGAACTAACAGAAAAGGATAATAAAAGAATGCTATCAAGAGTTGTACTCTAATAAATTTGAAAATATAGGAGAAAAGGATACATTTTTTATAAAAACACAACCTACCTAAACCAACACAGAGTAAAGTAAAACAAATGTGCAGCAAAGGAAATTGAATCAGTCGTTACAAAACTCCCAGTAAGAAAAAATTCCAGGCCCAGATGTCTTTACAGGTGAATTTTACTAGTCATAGGAGTTGACACCAATTTTTCTCGTACTATTCCAGATTGTAGAAAAGGATGGAAAACTCCTGAATACATTTTATGAAGCAGGCATAACTCTCATACTAAAACCAGTCAAGGACACCACTAAAAAAAACAATTCTGAACCAGTATCCATCATGAACATAGATGCAAAAATTCTCAACAAAATCCTAGCCAATAGAATTTAACAACATATCAAAAAAATAATACATCATGACCAAGTGAGATTCATACCAGGCATGCCAGGATGGTTTGATATTAGAAAATCAGCATAATTTAGCATATAAATTTTAGAAAACTAAAAGGATCACATGATCATGTTGATTGATGCAGAAAAAGCATTTGCCAAAATCCAAATCCATCCCTGATAAAAACACTAAACAAAATAGGAATAGAAGGGAAATTCCTCAACGTAATTAAGAGCATATATGCAAATATCACAGCCAGCATTACCCTCATTGGAGCAAAACTGAAAGCATTCCCTTTGTGAACAGGAACCAGTGAAGGATGCCTTTTATCACCACTCCTATTCAATATTGTTTGGGAAGTATTAGCCAGAGCTGTTTAAGGCAAAAATGAGAAATTGAAAGTATCCAAATTAGCAACGGAAGTGGAGAAGGAAAGCTCTGTATTTGCTGATGATTTGATCCCTACACAAAATCCCAAAGATTCAGCAAGAAATTTATTGAAACTCATGAAAAGATTCCACAATAAGCTTAATTCCTCTACATAATAAAGACAGTTTTGAAAAGGAAATTAGAAAAACAATTTATAATAGCCATTTATAATAGCAACCCAAAAGAAGAAATACTTAGGATTAATCTAACCAGAGAAACAAAAGATCTATACAAAGAATACTACAAAATATACTATAAGAAACCAAAAGGAACTTAGCAAAAATGCAAGAATATAATATACTCATGGATAGAAAGCCAGCATTGTGAAAATGTCACACTACCCAAAGCAATCTATATATATAATGCAATCCCAGTCCAGATTCCAGCATCATTCTTAAAAGAAATGGGAAAACTGAATAAGCAAATCATTGCTTAAGAAGAATAGAGTTGTAGGCCTCTAAATCCCTGGTCTGAAATTCTACTACACAGTCAAAGTAGTCAGAACAGCCTGGTACTGGTACAATGAAAGATTTTTAGATCAATGTAACAGAGTTGAAAATTCAGAATAAATACATCCACATACAGTCATATTGAGTCCTGATGTGGCACTGTTGGTTAATGTGCTGGACTGTAAAGTCGGCATTTCAAGCTCACCAACCACTCATTGGAAACTCTGTACAAGGTCACTATGAATTGAAACTGACTCAACGGCATTTAACAACAGCATAGTCATTTGATCTTTGACAAAGGACCAAAACACATTAAATGAGGAAGAGAGTTTCTTCAACAAATTGTGGTGGTAGAACTGGAAATCCATCAGCAGAATATATACCATATACAAAAACAAACTAAATATTGATTAAAGACCTAAGTGTAAAACCTAGAACTTTGTTATTGTTAAATGCCATAGAGTCGGTTCCAACCCATAGCGACCTTGTATAGGGTTTCTGAGGAGCAGCTAGTGAGCTAGAACTGCCAACCTTGCAGTTCAAAGGGCTTTGCAGTTTGGTGCATTAACCCACAGTGCCACACCAGGACTCCATACATGACGTTGTTAAGTGTCGTTGAGTCAATTGTGACCCATAGCGACCCTGTATAGGGTTTCCAAGGAGCAGCTGGTGAGCTTGAACCACCAACCTTGCCGTTCATACGACTTTGCAGTCTGATGCATTAGACCACAGTGCCACACCAGGACTCCATACATGGCATTAGAGTCCCTAAATTTGTCCCTATTTTTTCATTGATGGTGGGAGACCTGGTGTGGTGCTGTGAGTTAATGTGCCAGACTGCAAAGCCGTTGGAACTGCAAGGGCAGTGGTTCAAGCTCACCAGTCACTCCTCAGAAACCCTATACAGGGTTACTATGGGTCAGAACTGTGACTTGATGGCACTTAACAACAACACCAATACATGGCATAAATATACTGTCAAACCTAACTAAAAACTCACAAACAGCAGAAAACAAAATAGATGACTGGGACCTTCCACAAATTAGGCACTCATGTGCACCAAAAAATTTCTCTAAGATTAAAGAGAGAGCCCACAGACTGGGAAAAAAATTGTTGCAACAACATTTCAGAAAAGGCCTTAATCTCTAAAATTTCTAGAAAACTGCAACACCTCTACACGAAAAAGACAAACAACCCAATTTAAAAATGGGCACAGGACAAGAAAAGACACTTCAGTAAGGATAACATTCAAACAGCCAACAAACATGATGAAATGTTCACAATTATTAGACATTAAAGGGATGCAATTCAAAACAACAGTGAGATACTATCTCACCCCATCATTCATTGCAAAGTTAAAAAAATAATAATACTGGCTATGGTGTAGAGAGACGGGGAACCTCCTACTTGCTGATGGGACTGTAAAATAGTTAAACCACTGTGGGAAATAGTATGGTGCTTCCTAAAAAAGATGGAAATAGAAATACCTTATTACCTAACAATCCTTCTAATTGGTATGACTTGTTTTAAGTGATGTTGAGTCAGTTCTGACCCATAGCGACCTGTATAGGGTTTCTGAGGTGTGACTGGTGAACTTGAACTGTTGACCTTGTGATTCAAACTGACCTTGCAGTCCAGCACCTTAACCCACAGCACCACACCAGGACTCCCTAATTGGTATATATCCACCAGAAATAAGAGCCAAGACACAAGTAAATATATGCACACCTATGTTCATTACAGCACTATTCACAAGAGAGAAAAAGATGGAGACAGCCTAAATGCTCATCAGTGGATTTTTGGGTAAACAAACTTCGGTAACATACATAATTTCCAAAATTATTTTTAAAAGACCAGAATTACTGGTCAGAAAGAGGCTGTAGGAACTCAAGATTATGGCCCTTGACCACCCTTCAGGTCTGGAAAGGAACTCATCCTTATGGCCCAGTTTCAACCAAACAGTATATAGGTTTGTAGGGGGACAACAACACGAGTAAGGTATGCTCACCATACAATGGTCAGTCATTCAAAATCAAAAGGGCAATATTTACCTAAGGTCAAAGTTGAGAACAGAAATCGGAACCTCAGAACGAATTTGGATAACTTGTTGCATGGAGGGGATTGCAATCGTTGAAATGAAATAGTGTATGATTTTTTGAACGGAAAACTGATGATCTTGTCTGTAAACCTTCAGTCAGTTCACAGTAAAAAGTTTAAAAGTTAAAAATAAGTGATAAAAAAATTTTCTACAAACTCTTTGAAGCCCCATTATATTACATGATTCCATGTAAATTAATTTTTAGAATAGGCAAATCCATGTAAATATTAATAAGTACATTAGGGTGTGGGAGGATTATTAATGAGTTTAGGTTGTTTTCTAATGGGGGATGATATGTTCTGGAATTAGATGGTGGGTATAATTGTACAGCTTGTGAATATGCCAAAAAAAAAAAAACCCACTGAATTGCCCATTGGCAGAGGAAAGATGAAGATAGCAGAAGAGTTAAAGTGAATAGGGATAGATACTGTTAACTGATTATTCATGGATGGGATGATAACATTCACTGTAATGTAACTAAGTGTACAATTTGTTGACTGGAACTGATGAAAACTCTGTAAACCTTCATTCAATTCATAAATTTTCTAGAAAATAGTAACAATGACATTGGAAACATAGTGAAGTACAGTCACTGGCACTGAAAATAGCAATCCCAAACCTGAGTGACATGCCCACCTGCCAGCACAGCCGCTCTTTTAATTATCTAAACACAACTGTATATTTAGAGAACATTAAATATGTTATAGAACTATAGCTCTGTTTAGCTTTGCAACATCTCTCTAGACATTTTTTGTTAGTTCTATGGTTAAGTTTACTGATGGTGAATTGACCGGTTTTTTCCTGTATGTACTTACTCTCTCAACACAAAATATTTTCTTTTGGTTACTGTATATATTAAGTGGTCTCCTTCATCCTCCTACCTGTGTTCAGTAACATTTCTGGGTCCGTCTAGTCAGGATAGAAAGGTGGTGAGCCTTAAACTCAACAATGCATTAATCTCATTGCATAGAGTAGAAGATGAGTGGAAACTTGTGTATTTTCACATACACATTATTCCTCACCATTTTTGTCTGGTAGACACTGGTACAGACTTTTTTCCTTCTTTTCCCAGGGATATGGTTTTAAGCCTAAATATGATGGAGAAGATCTTGCTTACACAGTGAAAAATCTCAGACGTAGTACAAAGTATAAATTTAAGGTAAGCTGTGAAAGCCTTTAAAAGATTTGTGTTATACTTGTTCTTACTCTTCTTGTTTTAAAGCCAAGTACATATGTCGTTCCTGTAATCTTAAATCTTAAATAACTTTAGTTTCTCTGCGACCTTTATTGTTTTCATTTCTTAGTACTATGTAATAGTGCTTATCGAACTTTATATATTTAAATTCAAACTTACTTTACATTGCTTTACTGAACTCTTATTTGCATGATGTAAAGAAACATCTTTTTCTAATGACTTTATTAATACACACCCAGAGTATGCATTTTTAGCTAAGATTCTGTAGAAAGTATTGCTCTTTTCTTCCCAGTGCATTGTGTTAGGTATTGCACACTTTCATTTTGTCCCATTACTGGTAGTCACAATGCAAGTTCTACTTCTTCCAATGTTTCTTGAGTCTTTCCGTAATGTTTAGAAATGCTATTCAATTATAGTAAGGCTGCCAAGTGGTGATTTTTAATGTCATTCCTTCTACATGTATTAGTTGGCAATTTATTCTAAGGAATAGCTTGCCCTTCTGTTTACTGATAGCAGTGTGGACTCGTGGATTACTGTTTATTTCAGTGGGTTTATTTTTTTGTTAATAACATTACTGATTTTCACTCAGTTGCCACAGCTGTGGAATCCCCTTCAACCTGAATCCTTTTTAACATGTCCCCATCATTCTTTCAGCACTTTATTACTTTATGACACAAGATATTTCATCTCATGTTATACTTTTCCTGCCTCAACCCTGGAATGAACCATTTCTCAAGGTACCCTGGTTCCTTTTACTGGACAGTACTATCTAAAAGTCCACATCTGGGCATAGATGTACTTAGTATTTTAAGCCTGATTGATATCACTGCTCCCGGAAACCCTGTCAGTGGACAGAGCTAGGAAGAACATGTGTATATACATTTTGTTTATATGTGAATGTTTATGTGACTACACAACTACTCAATTAGCGTTATCAAAGTCAACTCTACTTTGAGGAGGCAGCTCTTCCCCA